CGTTCCTGCGCCCTTCTGACCAGAGAAAGGGGCACGTTATCGCACCTGCGGACCCAGTCACCTCACACATGTTGAGCAGCATAGGAGTTGACTGCAGTTTGCCTTTATGAAGCTCTGGCTACCTCAAACATTCTAAGCCTTTTCAGTCACTGCTGGTACGACTATGGTCTCCGTTGGTAACTCACAATCAGGCCACGTTCGCACCTTCACAAAATGTGGAGAACTGCGAGTTCGGGGAATCCGCGATTCGCGACGCGACAAAGGATTAGATGGGAATGGACTGACTTCATTCATTAGGGTTTTCGGAGAATACACAGATTCGCTAGAGGGTGAAGTCAATCGTTTCACAGCCAATCCCCTGCCGTCAGGGCCCCGTGCAGAGTCTCCAACAATGGTGTGCCCCTGTTTATCGTACGCTCTACGAGATCGCGGGTGAACCAGAACCCTCAGAAACCACAGATTTCCCATATTGGGGAAATTTCGAACATGTCTTGAGGATAGGGCCAACATCAGGGACTCGAACAGGTACTCGCGCACTGTAGATAATCGCTGGACCAATACTGCATCAAAAGCCTTAACGTCTGCTAATAAGCAGCTTACCTGCTTTACGAGCTACTTCGAAAGCGTCTGCAGGAAGAACTTTTTTCCAGTCGGACTCGGAAACCTGTTTAGGATCTTTGGCATCTCCAAGCTTTTTTATTCCGATGTCCTCCGGACCTGAAAACATTCGATGCCTCGATTAGACTAAAAAAATGATCGAATAGAAGAGCTGAAGGAAACACAGTAAAGAGGAAGTCTAATGCGTCCCATCCTCAAGGTTTTAGCGTTTCTAGCAAATAAAGGAATGACTCTGACAAGCAAAAGGATACTAACCAAGTTTGGTCCCAGACATATTCCTGAATACGTTCCCAATGGTGATAGGTGAATTCTTCGCGGAGAGTATCAGTCGACGGGCGTAACCCGATAGCATTCAGCAAGTCCCAGCAATGGAACTAAATTGAAACAAAAGTTGAATACAAATTGAAAAGAGAAGGGGTACATTTGTAGCCATAACTAACAATGAGAAATGAAAGCGAAACCGTCTAAGATAAAACCGAGTACAGGATGGTAACGAGGTGCACAGCAGCTGAGTTGCTTCGGGAAAAGTTGGGTTCTATGACTGCGCCCATGAAGAATCGGAGAATTTGTGAAAAGAATAGGATACATATCGACTGATTGCCGATTGTCCAGTGGCGCGAGGTATGAACGAATCCTGAGCGTGTTTACACATCGCGAACGCATTCTAAACGATGGTTCTGCAACCAACAAAATTTAAGCGTAGTTTTAGAATGCAGGGCGCGTTCATACTTCGCGATCGAGCGAACCCGACCGGAGCACTCCACCGCCAAAAGGTGCATGGCCGCAACGGCACAATTTAGAGTGCTACAGCAGCCCAATTTGAATTCTGCCGTTGCGATGGTGCACAGTTTGCTCGGTTCATTCGAGCGATCCAGCCGAGCGATTCGACCGCGTGATCACGAAGTATGAACGCGCTCTAATTTGGAGCTTTTCATTCCCGAGATTCCCGAGATCAAATGGTCCGTGAAATGCCTCCGTAATTTGATAGATCCACACTTGCAGAGAATGTACCATTTTCGTCACACGAAAGTGCGAGATAAATTGGCCAGAGGCGCGCGACCTTTTACGGTAGTAACTTTGTTGGATAAGATTTACTTCGCTAATTACTGCAGTTGCTTGCAGCGTCGTAGGACGATCTCGTGTACTCGTCGCGGGGAATGTGGACTTGTGCAGCTGATGAGTGTCTCTGCTTTCTTCCCTGGATATCCCTTTCGGAAACAAACAATCAATAGCAGTCCGCCTCGCAAGTCAAGATGCATCTTGATGCTGCTTAAGTTCCTCGGCGATGTAATTGCATTGGTGCAAAAGTTCGCCGTGTTTACCGTAATCCTCATTCCGGCTAATGCCGTTTGGACTCCAGCAATTTCGGCACCGAGCTCATTTTTAAATTGCCTAAGTCACCAAACCCGCTGAAAACATGTACACAAGGGTTATTTAACATCGTGATTACAATTACGACTCATTCTTGGCGCTGGCGCCAAGAGATGACACTACGATTACCTCCTGGGCTCAGCCTTAGCAGAGCGCAGATAATCGTAGTGTCATCCATTAGCGCCAGCGGCAAGAGTGAATGTCATATTCGTAATCAGGATGTTAAACTACCCCTATATACAAGTTTTTAGCGGATTTGGTGACTTAGGCAATTTAAAAATGAGCTCGGTGCCGAAATTGCTGGAGTCCAAACGGCATTAGCCCTCATTCCGCACATGGAGCCTTCGCGAGCTATAGTATGGTTCATTGTGGACGAAGAGGCGTGTCAGGCGAGATGAGTTTGACGCGGTGCCCAACTCCTTCTACACCGGTTCTTGAAGCGATCACCTGACAAGACCTCATCATATCATTCGTATCATTCGTTTTCTACCAAGTGTTGTAGCATCTTCAGCAACTGGTTGAGAACGGGTTCGGCGCCCTGACACGCCCCTTCATCCGCGGCGAACTAGTGTATCACGAATGCTGTTGCAATGCTTTTTTTGAAAGTGCTGGATGACATTTAATACTGGACAGTGCGATGATAGATTTGCGAGTCTGGGTTGCATAGAGGCCTCACGGTATGCAGCAAGTGCCCGGAGACCTCGTTCAAGGAGACTCTTTGACTCTCAGGGAGGGGTCCTGTTTAAGAAGTTCTCGAGAATTTTTTTTGCTTCCTTCTCAACTGGGGAGCCTTTTATCAGCTCCTGGTTCTGAGTAAACACCCACAACCCCTAGTACTTGATTACGGGGAGTCGCCTTTGAAGGTACGTCCTGCAATCACAATTGGGTAACGGAGCCAGAAATACGAAAGACAACGTCACCCCCGCTGTGACTCCATTGTCAGTTGTGAACGAAAACTCTTCGAAACGTCCTGAAAAGAATCCCTCGCCAATTCGAGATCAATACGAGTCCAATCTTCTAAGAGTAGTAGCCGAAAACGTCGGTCAGGTACTTGTAAGGTGTGAATAAGTGGGAAAAGACAAGCGAAAGAGCCGCACAATCAGGCAGCAGTTAGTAATGAAGGGGCGTGGCGTGTGGAGGTGGGAGGCGCATCGCATCCGTCACGAGTGTCTAGCGTCCTTATCGCGTTACTTTGAGCCGCAAAAATGGAACATCCTTCTGTGCTTGCGACCCCTTTTTCGTTCGATTTCTTTATCGTAGTTGGAGGGCCGACCTTCAAGGCCGCTTTCCTATCCAACGCCTTCGAAGAATAGAGGATAACAATGGAAACATGCATGTGTCTATCTGGAGGATCGGTGCATCGAGGAAACGAGAGATTTCGTGAAAAGGATGAGATCCGAACGACTTTGTCGACTGTGCCTCATTGCAGAATTGGTGGGATCTATTCGTATCTGATCCTTTTCGCGCAATTGTGTTTATACCGTTTTCATTTTGAGTCGTACTTCTCAAAGCAAAGCGAACACTTCGGACCAAATAAGAAGAACAGACCCTCTCAAATGAAATCGGGCACGCGCAAATTTCGAATATTTAGAACTTTTTTCCAACGTCGCCCTTTTCGCATTCATTCTTCACAAAACGAATGTACAGATAGACACGCATTTAGACACTGACATACTGAGCTCGAGCACTCAAGCCACGCCTAGCCATGTTGCGCAGTTTTGATTTTTCCTCCGGAACATCTCCCTGTCGAGACTGAAACAAGTCGCTCCACCTCTGAGAGGCTCTTTTAAAAGATAATCAGAAACGGCGCCTAGACTCTCAACTGGCATGTTAAGTCATAAGTGTCACTGATTAGCTAGTTAGTTAGGTCACTCGAAGCAAACCTTGTTTTTTGTTTCAGGCGACGGGGGAGACCCTAGCCAGCCAGCTGAAACTTTCACCTGCCGATTCTGATCATTTTTCAAAAGTCGACGGGGCTTCTGCAAAGGGGTGGAGCCTTTCAGCTTAAAAAGGAGGAAATTTCGAAAAGATCGAAACTATGTAAAACTACGCAAAAGTAGGCATAGCAAAAAGGGTCGAGAGGCGTGTTCATGAGTGCATGCGTTTGTAAAGAATGGACGTGAGAGCGACGCTAAAAAGACCTTGAAATTTCGAAATTTACGTGCGTCCGATTTGATTTGAAAAGTGACCGATAAAATACGGCCAGAGAAAGGGCTAAAATCAAACGCTTGTTGCGACGAAAACAGAGCTAATGGGCTGTAAAGCGGAGTGAAGGGAGCTGTTTGTTAATCAGTGTGAACAACATCGAAGAGTCAGAGAGGAAGAGTTGAAATTCAAAAGACAAAACAAGGTAGGAAAGCAGAGGTCGTCTGCAATATCTCGTCCCAAACCTCTTTACGCACTTTTGCAGAACAATAACTTTTATTTTCTAGTTCAGCCGTTATTCACAGGGATCTGCTAGAGTAACCTTGTCTAAAGTTGTTTCTGTGCTTTACATTACTCCATTTGTGCATGCACAACAAATTACATAAGAAGAGGGCTGAGACTGTTCCATCCGTTTCGTCTACGTGAATAGACTTTGTTAAACTTTTTTCCATTACATTTCCTTCCTTTGCAGGTCACATTTCATTAGTTGTAGCTGAACATCAAGGCTCCGTTCTAGTCATGGAAACAGGGTGAGTAGAGGGCGATATGGCTTGTATCTCCATTACGGAATTATAATATTTTTGTTGTTATTGTTGTTAATTTTTTTAATGTCTATAAGTTCCTCTTTCGCTTCTCTCTGTTTCTTTGCAAGTGTACTAACCAATGTATAAAGAAAAACAGAATGATTCATTTCGTTCATCTACTGAACTTCGTTTTTTAGGATGGTGTGTTTTCTCGAGTAGCAACACTAAGCGCCCATTACTGCTCCGCTTTTCGAAATTCAGACCCGTTCTTGGTGGGATTTTTTTGCTGGGGATAGATTCCGCCAAATTCTCTGTTCTGGATATGCTTCCGTGTTCGCGTTCAGGGCCGAAGCTTACTTCGGAGACAAAATTTTAGCCGCATCTACCCCGGGAAAATTTCGATCAAAATCCTGACTGGCCTGAATTTCTAACAGTGGGGCGGTAAATGGGAAATAAATAAGTATAAAGTAACGAGGTTTACTCAACTACTACTGCTACCCCGAAAAAAGTCAATTTTCTTTGCTTATACTTCGCCCATGAGGGTAATTCGATGCCTTGATCAAGATTATCGCGCTGTTACGTGACAGGCGAAGTGCGGGGCGTTTTAGCAGTCAAGGAAATACAGTCAGTTGAAACCTGTGACGTACCCTTTCTTGATGCATACATTACCGATCACTCTCTTTACTAGGGTTCAGCCGTAGCAGTGGAAGCGATCACTATCTCGGGGGAAGGGTGCAGACGAGCAGAAGCAGACCGCGCTATCACGCCCATTTGCTGCATTTTCATATCCATTGCCACCCCATGTAGATGTGATATTCAAGTTCAGGAGGTCAAGGTACCCTCGGAGACAAGTTTTCAACGAGCTTGGTGATTTCGGTTATCTTGGTTTTGGCGCCAAGATTAAAAAAAAACTGGCCTCATTTCGGGAGATAGTGGGCAAGGGGGAGCAGTAGTTGCATACTGTCAATAACAAGTCTGCAACACCTAGTTGTTTTTTTTTCTTTTCCAACGACAGTATTTTATTTCAGCAATCTTCGCAATGAAGATTTTCGAAAGTTGTTGACTGCACCGAAAAAGGTGGTCGCTGAAGGTTCTGCATCGGGTGGCGCATCACATTCATTCACACACAGGCATCAAGCGAAACCCGATAAGAAGAAAGGTGGAGGTGGTCATAAACACAAGAAAGTAAGAACATTCGTAAATCGCAGTAGTTCGGTTTTCATGACATGTATTCCCTTATGAGGTACTGATTTCTTCTCCTATGGGATCTCAACCTGGCATTTTAGTCAAGTTGTGCTCGTCATTTAGTTTACATCTGATAATAAAATCGGTGGTGATCGGACGGTTTCATATTATTCCAGGAGAAATTCGAGACCAACGAGGATGAAGCCAATCTCAAGGAAATTCTTAAAAACTACCGTGATCGAGCACTCGAACGACGTCTAAAGGGCAACGATGTGAGTGGGAATTGTCTTCTACCCCATAACTTCAGATTTTTTGAACTGATCGGAATTTGGCCTACTGCTCCCACTTAAGCAGTCACCTTGTCGCTCCCTATTTTTGCAGTTCATTTTTGTCACTCTCAACGAAATTCGAGATCATATTATCATGGCTTAAACTGTTTTCATTCACATTAGAAAGGAAGAACCAAAATGCCAATACCTTTTCCAGGACAATGACGAAATCGTGAAGTTGGCGGCAGCTTATCGTGCCATGCCTGGAGATGCACGTGCGATGACAGATAAAGCGAATCTCAGAAGACAAGCGATTGAGGTGGGTATTCAGTTCAGCGGCTTTTTACGTTTTGAAGGGTTCTAATTGAATTTCTCAGGTGTTTTCATGATTCTCATGGTTTGAAACGCTATTTGAAATGTTCTAAATTATTTGAAATATATTGAAAAATTCAGGATTGATTTTTTTAGGAATCAAAATACCTTGGAGGAGATATGGAGCATACTCACTTGGTGAAAGGTCTCGATTATTCGCTGCTAAACAAAGTGCGAAGTGAAATTAATAAATCACAAACGGAAGCGGATCCTGTGGACGAACTGGAACTTGCTTATGTGAGTAATGTGAATTACATGCCAACCGTTCCGCTTGCTAGCCGCAGACTCAACCTGATTATTGTTCTTAATTGTCCTAAGGTAACCTATATCCATTTCTTCATATAGTTTCTCACCCGCCTCTCTTTGGCGCTCATCTATGCCATTCCTGCATAGGATATAATAACGCTATATTTTGGGCGGTCTTTCAAAGCTTACAGTTCGGCTCGGTGGGGCATTTTGCAGGTTCCCACTAGCATCAGTACGCGAATGTCTCTGTTGACGAATCTGGTGACTCTTCCTACGAAGCTTGGAAAAAGGCAGGAACATCGTTCTAGACCTGTGATAGAACTCTGCTGGTTTTACAATGATGAAGAACGTGTTAATTCACCTGCACTAGTCGGATCACAGGTAAAACGAAGGATTAGAAAAGTGTTCCCACCCCCTAAAACGAAGTTCCAAATGGCTTCGGGCAATAACGCTGGTCTAGCTGTTTCTGACTTGCCAGCTTTAAAGATGTGTAAAGATCGGTGGAAAGTATGCAGGGGTAGTTTATTTTTTAAGGATCAAAAAGGAGTAGATGCTGTGGAGAAGATGTCAGATAATAAGATGGTGCGTGGCTTACATCGTATTCTGTTCAAGAATGAGTTACCAGTACGGAATGAGCTATTCGGAAAAGGACGTATGGCATATGTGGTAGACATGGAAGATGAGGAAGCTGATATTCCTACCACTTTACTTAGGTAACGATCATAATTAATCAAGCTACTACTGACGGAGTTTCCTTAGCGTGCTCACTTTTTGTAAATGTGGGATGCGCGATCAAGGGGAGGGGTCACGAATCGCTATAGTGCGCGACAAAGGAACAGGACTCGATTGATTCCGTCGACTAACGAATCCAGCATTTTCCCCGATTCGTTCATTCTTCCCACCCCATCCCCCCAATCCCACCCCTTGAGCGTATGCCTCTGAATCCGTGAACTCTCCCTATCATACTTATACTTAATTCACCGCATAAGGATAACTGAAGAAGAAAAAACTATTTGTCGGCTGCTCAGTCGCTATCTGTGAGAGGCGGCACGTATTTTTACTTCCCATTCAGCAACACCAGCGGCTTATTAAAATGTGTATGTCTTATAAAAGATGCGCGCTGGGCCGGATGATGTACAAGTCTGTGTTTTTAGTGTCCCAGCTGAATACGATTTCAGTTGACCGCCCCCATTAAAAGGCTTGGTTGGACCCGACCGAACCGATCCGAGATGACGTAGGAGACCCTAGCCTCCCTCTGAATGGGTCCCGTCGGAAACACGCGAAAATTCGCGGCGGCCGGTGGTAAGAGCTCTTCACTTGCCACTACACAGCCTCCACCTCTGGCGCATACTCCTCCTAAATTAGCGATTCTCTCGAACTGCGAATTCTCTTCATTCGCAGAGCACAAACAGTCTCACCATGAAAATTCAGGTTACTTTTTTTGTATGATTCAGATCTGTGCACGATTGTCCGAAGGCAGAGTCAAATGCAAATATCAACGCGAATAACATGTTGATTTCCAAGCTGACACAGGTATCACTCTGTTACCTGTTAGCCTTTTCCTCCTTTTTGATAACTTCACGATGAAGACGCAACTAGACTTACGATAATTGAGCGCATTTCTTCGAGAATATCTTACGGTCTCATTCTCATCGAGTATTGGTTCTCAGAAAAAAAAACGAACGATCTTGTGTATTTTTTAGGTGCTGTCATACCTTCGTGCTGACCATAAAAAGAAGAAAAAGCCAGAAATGTCAGAAGAGGAGGCGAAGAAATATCAGTCTCAGAGCATCTACGATAACGAGGCTGAATATGCTCCAAAGAGAGACAAGGACAAGTACGTTATTAATCCTATAGTGAGATATTGCTTCAGCTCTCAAATTCATATTTTTAGGGACCGTCGAGATAAGGACAGAGATCAGAATCAGAAGAAGGATCGAAATTACTTCGACGCTAAGGATGATAGAAATAAACGTGAGGATCGCGATAGGCGGGACAAAGATCGTGACAGGTGCGCATGTTGAAAGCCTACTTTTCACTGTTTCCCCTTGTTCTAAGTCATTCTAGGGTGTCGAAGAAGGCTCATTTTTTATCTCGGATAGGCTGATTCTTTAGCATTTCCGCGGCATTCTTTTCCTAGAAAGAGTTCAGTTCTTAGGAATATTTCAAGCAGTTTTTTAGTTAAATGCAGCTGTGTATATCTCTTCTATGATTTCTATGGTAGATATGTACTATTCATGCATCCGCATCTCACGTAAAATCTGAAGTTGTGCAGAACCTTTACCGTACTGCCTATTCAGGCGTGGTGGTCATGAACAGGATCGTCGAGATCGCGACAAGGAAAAGGATCGTGAACGAAATCGTGATAAAGAGCGAGAGCGGGACAGAGAACGCAGAGATCGCGAAGAACGAGACAAAGAGAAGCGCCTTGAAGAAAAAATGGAGAAGAGGAGAAAGGAAGCAGAAGGAGGAGGGTAAGTCCCTCTATCTTTTTATTTGATTGGTCGCTTCTGCACTGTTACTGCTGTTAAGGTATGATGAATGTTATCCCGGAGGAATGGCAGAAATGGCTGGCGGTTGGGATTCAGATGAAGAAGATCTGACGATGATGGATATGGGAGCAAAGAAGTCGAATATAAAACGATGGGAGTTCGACAATGACGATGACTATGAGAAATTCCAGGTATTTTTTCAGCTGCATTTACTTGTTGTAAAATATGATGCCGATATTCATTTCAAGGGATCTCGCGAAGCGATGCCAAAGGCAGCCTACCAGTATGGTGTGAAGACTGGCGATGGACGAAAGACCAGGAAAAGTGTTGATGTGAACAAGAAGATCGACAAGGAACTAAGTCAAATCACAAAATTGATCGAGAAGCGTAAAAGTGGATTCGAAGAAGAAGGGTAAGTGAACTGTGAGCTTATTTACTTTGTTTCTGTTTTCGTTGCCAAGATCCGGGTTAATTTTTAGTTTCAGAGACTACAAGCGTCCGAAGTTCTAAATGTATTTTTTGTAGCTGCGGTGTCGTGTTTCTGCTGTTCATGTTTGCTTTACTGATTGTCTGACAATATTATATACACTTAGTTAATAAAGTATATTGGGCAGTTTTTATATGAAACAATCATATAACGCTAATAACTGAAGGATGGCTATCTATAAGTGACTGACTGTATTGTATGAATGGGTGGCTGCATTCCTTCATTGTTCTATACCACCTCATTCTTGGATGCGCCATGGACATAAAAACCATTAATGTTCCTGAAAAGGCTCATGTGTGTAGTGGCAATAGAGCTAGGGTATAGCATTGGTAGGAGAGCCCCACCGGGGGGGGGGGGTGGCTGTACCAGGTTAGTGGGGTAGGGGGTCATATCTGCTCTTTAGAGAGTTTTCCGAGTGGCGCAGGTAACTTAACCTGTTGTTGTTGTTTTTTGTTACACGCGTGTTATCCTCTAAACACCCTCGCCCAGAGCCTTTCCTTGAAAAAAAAACTGGAGAAATTTCTGGGAAAAAATGGCAAGGAGTCGGAATGTTCCGGCAAGGTAGTAGGTAGGCGGTGGGGGTGAATCCTAGTGCTGGAATAGGGCACTTTGTGACTGGAAGAGGTTTGGGGGGTCACTAACTCACTCATCCTTATACGCTGTATCCTGCGGCGAAGGAATCTTATGCTAAACGCTTTATTTCATGGTTGGATGGGGAAACATCTGAAAGAGAGCTGAATCTCACCTCAGTAGGTGCTTAGCAGTCTGAAGGAGAATTGCATCCGAAAAGGTACGGTTGAGCTGGTATTCTTTTACGCAAACATATGGGATAGACTCTCAGGGGCGGAGGGGGGGGGGGAAGCTGACTTCGTGGCTCCCTCTAAGTTCTCCACCAGAAAGTCAGCATTCCGGCACAGTGAAGAAATTTGTGCCTGGCATATACGCCTAAAGGCAGTGGTGAGAATTGGTCAGCGCACTGCCGCGCGCTCGCTGACGTGGTTCCTGCGCGATTTTGCAGCACGGACCTCTTGACCGACACGGGTTCTCGCTGTGTCCTAGTATTAGATGTTGTTCAGTCCGAAGATGGATCTGTCACAGCCAATAAATAAAAGTTCAGTACATAAACCCTTGGTGGTGGTCATCCGTGCTACAGGACTTTTATGCATATCTACTGTGACTTTGTAGCTTACAACCAGCTAAGCTTTCAAGTTTTACCGAAATTTCTCTATATTTTAACTGTCGCAAGAACTGTAAATCCGAAGCGCTATGACAACAGTTGATAAGAGTAAATGGATGGTACTGTTCTTCCACATCACCGTCCCCCCCCCCCACCGTTTTTCCTGTGTAATCCCGAGAATCAGCACGGCGAGAACGGCTGCAGCATTCATTGAAGGCAGGTGGCGCGATAAATCCCCAAGAAGTGTAGGATCAATACGCCCAAGGCTGCGTTTATACTTTGCGGCAGCGTAGCGTAGCGCTTCCAGCGTACGCCAGCGGCAGTGTCGGGGAAAGGATAGATATCGATCTAGCGTTCCCAGCGTCACCAGCGTACGCTAGCGTAGCGAGGGCACGGGAAGCATAGCTATCGATCTAGCGCTCCCAGCGTTTCACGAGCGTTTCGCTAGCGTTTGCAGCGGCGGGGCTAGAGAGTATAGAAGAGTAGGAGAGTACAAAATACTCTCCTACTCTTCGATACTCTCTAGCCCCGCCGCTGGCAAACGCTAGTGAAACGCTTGAAGCGCTACGCTACGCTGCCGCAAGTACAGTCGTCATCCTTGCACTTGATAGGGGCGTGTCGGCGAGAAGGAGCGTGCACACTGTTTGAAGCCTTCTCAGCCTTTTCGTTGAAACGCGTATGCGACAAAAAGTGATAGAAAACGAGTAACACGAAGGATATAATACAGTAATGTCACTTCCTGGTTCAACGATTGGTGCAGTACGGGTGCGGGCGACCGCGCCGCACGCAGCCGCACTGACATTGACTATCAAGTGCAAGGATGACGAAAACTGTAAATAAACGCAAGCCTCCACAGGACACAATGCGCCCCTCCCCCTGAGCAGGCGGCCCTTTCTAAGTAAGGTACCCTTATAGTGCCCTATCAGGCCACAACAAACCCACCCTGACGCCCAACACGCCCGCTCGCTCAGGGATGCAAGACCGATGCTGATGCTCGTATCTCTCCATTTGCGAAGTGAATGTGATGTGAAGGGTTTGACATAGGCGTCGTGTGCTGTCCTGATATGAGTTACATCAGCATGCAGCCGTATTCTACGCGTAACGGTTAATTGGCAGGATGCTAGCGGGATAACTCTCAACTTTCTGAGGCCGTTTAGGAACAAAGTCTTTTTCTTGAGAGTATTTTGACCGTTTCACTTCATCTTTTCAGCGAGTTATATTATGCACCCCTACTAACCATTTGAGACAGAGTAGCAAATTATACGTGTCACTACGCTTTAAGTGGCTGCTTGATGCGAATGACGGTGGGCGCCGCGGTGCGATGCGGCCTGCACCAGAACCTCTTGATGTGAAAACGCTAAAATGCAATAAAAATGCTATGCTAAAAGTAGTGACTGTTTAATACCTCATTCATACTTTGGCTAAGCCAACTAGTTAGGAAGCAATGGCTAGTTGCTGAGCGCGGTCGCCGCAATAATGGCTCTCTCCAGCTGCTGTTACAGCAAGTGGAAGGGGGGGGGGAGCATTCCGCACTTTTGCTAGCTCATGTAAACCAACAAGAGCTTACAGGTTTACTTAAAAGCAGCGCCCACGTTCACTTGATGTACCTACGCCCTACGCCTGTTCTCTTCGCCTTAAGCACGTACAACCGCTATTCGGTATGAAACTCCTTATAGGGCATTTTGCATGTTTTCTTTTTGATTTTTCTTCACTAATAGGTTTCTTGCTACCTTGCTATTACTACCTGAGCCGCATACTCATCAAATTTGAACGCGCGCGCTGCCTTTAAGTGCGGACTGTAAGCTCTCGTGACGGTGCGAAATGGTACAAGTGGTAAGTCCAAATCCATCAAGAATTCATCAGTTCTGGTCATTCCTTCGAATCAGTGACAGCCCGATGTGATTTTAAAAACCAAAATTTCAACAATAAATGTAGTATAAATGATTTATACATGAGGATAATGAAACCATTCTTGTTCTTGTCCTCAACCACCATTAAAATGAGTAGCTATTTTTACGATAAATAAATGATATTATAGCGAAGAAAAGCATAAAAAATGAAAGGAGCTATAAACAAACGACGAAGAAAAACAAAAAATAAGCGCAGAATTTCGAAGAAAAATTCAATGCTATTACTAACTTTTTACTAACAACAAATCTGTAACAACGTTACCTAAACAAACATATACTTAAACAAAAAACCACCGCATACATAACGTAAAGAACATAAAATACACGTTTATCGGAATTTATCAAGCATAACTGAGACCATTCACTATTGGATTTCAGACAAGTTGAGATAGGCCTTCTCCAAACTGACTTGTATACGAAGCCCAGATAGGACCTTGCTGAAAAAGAAGCAGATTTAAGCCGGAACACCTAAGCGGAATTCGGAAAGTATTAAAAGTAAAATATAATGAGGTGTAAAGTACAACTATAGGAATTGCAGCTCTGAGCCTTCGTAAATGAACCTAGTATTCCATAAAACGATAGGAGCTTCTTAGTTTTCCAAGGTCTAAGAAACCATCCACGATTGCAATTATGGGTGAAAGGTTCCCAAAACTAAAGTTGACCGGATACTGAAGAAAAAACAAAAGATGGGCTGAGGAAGCCCCAAACAGGAGCATATTAGTCCTGAGCATAGGATGAGTTCACCAGCGTACAGACAACAATTCCGGATTTACAGGCTTTTGATATCGATAGCCTGGTGGAAAACGTCCTCCCTTCAACATATGCCGCTGCTCTTGCTCAGAATATTAAAATGTGAGCATGAGCATGGTGAGCAAAAGTCGATGAAATTTTTTTCATTCCAGAGTACACTAAATTATGGTACAACGCTCCCGGCAACAAAGGCTCGGTGGTTAGCTGTCGCAGCCGTTCTCGCATGGGCGTTTTTCGGAAAAGGCTCGGACAAAGACGCCTTGGACGCTGCTACCAGACATATTTAAGTGAAAGTGGCAAACTCTTGATTTGCGGACTTAGCTACCAAATACGTGGCAGGGATATTCTTACCAGTTAATCGCTAATGTTGTGTCTAATTAAAGTTCTCGTGTATTGGAACGATCACATTCAAAGAGCTTGAAAACTAAAGTTCACTCTATCATGGCAGGAAGTGGGTAGCGGGTTCAACTATAATTTTGTAGGGGACGAGTGACTCGTCAGTGGAGAGAAAAAGCAAGGGAAACCGTCGAATCCCCCCCCCCTTTCCAAATCTAGCCCGTCTTCTTCAGTTGATTTCATGCATTATGAGTGCATTCAATGAAGAAACAGTGAGCGCACAAACGAGGACTAGACGAAGAAGGGTAAGAGAGTCAAGGATTAATCGCGCTACGCGGCCACATAATGGAACAATTGAGATCGATAAAACGCATTAAATATAAAAACCTACTTATTATACTTCAACATGAACTCCTTAGCCTTCGCATGCTCGACAAATATTACAGTCACTTGGTCCTCATTCGACTTCCAGCACTTCTGTAAGAGAAAAAACATTCTAAATGAAAAAAATTGGGTTCTGTGAGTGCGAAACATACTTGCTAATTTGAGAACCCATGTGAAATATTTGGAGCTACCGCTTTAGTATCCCACTGTTTGGCCGAAGAAACTTAATCTCTGAACCCTGATCTCATTCTAAGCCCTGATGGAAGAGAGTCCAGAAAACTCAGAGCACCATTTCTTACTCCTACGCACTTTCCAAACCATTCTGGATAGTGCCTACGTCAAATAACCTACCCTAATCTCTCCCAAATCCTTTGCTAGGGTTTCGACACGCATTTTTGCTGTTGTGAGCTGTTTTATATTCTTCACATTGACGCACAAATAGGCTTTGTTCTTCTTCAGTGCAGTTTCTGCTTCTGTGGATGGTCTTGATGTAGACTGAGGAGCTGAGCTGCTGTTACCACCACGTCGATAATCATTCGACGATCCGCCTTCATTCATGCGACGATCTCGTTGCTGAAATGCACAATTTGACTTCAAAGTTCTGATCGTAGAAGCTCGTAGGAGATAGTAGAAGCAGTAAGAGTTTAGGAGTAGTTTAAATTTAGTACGGAGAATGAGGATGGAACTGCAGACCATATCGGAGAGCAAAAAGGGGAGTCCCGGCGACAACTGCGAATTCCCATGCCGACTCTCCTCTTTTCACACCTACATAGGCCTCTCTTCCTTTTAACCCTCGCCAGCTAAGCCACATCATACACGGGGAACCTCAGACGGTAGGGGTTGTGATGGTCGCTGGAGGGGCGAGAGGTGATATCTGGCTTGAGAAAGATTATTCTGATTGCAGGTTTCTTTGTTTCTAGCGCACTATACCCCCTCCCACTCTGAGGCGGAGGTAGTGGTGGCAAGTTACGTGCTTACCACGCGCGCGGTTCGGAGGTGAAATTCCGGATCGGATCCCACCCAGGCCAACCAACCCTTCTATCCTAAATTTGTACCAGATTATGGGTAAATGCGTGGGAGGATAAAATACTGACTTGTACATCGGCTTGAGCTTGAGGTGCCCGGAAAGCGGCATCAAGGACGCCCCAAGCAGCGCTGGTTAGACACGTTGCATGCCTAAAGATAGTTGGCACCCATCCCGACCAAGCATTCAATCGGGAGAAGTGGCGTGACAGAATAAGTTGAGGAGACCCCGCTACAGAGCGTGACAAACGCTGAAGAAAAAGAAGAAGTACATCGGCTTAATCCTGGATGTCATTGGTATGGGCACATCGCATTCAATAAGCCAGTAGGATTTTGAAAGGAAATAGAGTGCATGCCGCGTCCCAGAACGGGATTAACCACGGCAAAGATTTTATCCTTTTACAATCGGATATGTCTACACCTCCTCCCACCCCTCGCACAACGTTAGGAGCTACCGCCGCGCTTGCACTGCTCGCAGCCACCGCCGCGCTGGCAGATGAACCCCCATCTGCTCTCATGGTCAGATATGGAAGGTTTTCCATTAGGTTACTCTTTCAAAATTCCTGAAAACATATCAGTACACCTTGAAACAAACCTGATTCTGACGATTACTTCCTCGGTCTCGGTCATTTGATCGCATTGAGATCTGATTCGAAGAGGACTCCTGCTGATTACCACCAAACCGACGCTGTTCCTTTCGTCTGAGCACTTCGTCACGTTTTCGTCGTTGATCTTCCAGCTTTGAAAGGTAGTCGTTATCGAGTCCAACAGCCTTGGCACACTCTACTGATATCTGTACAACGGACACATTCAAAGCAGATGCCATGCTATCAACTGCTTCCGACTTAATGGAACAATAAAAAAATGCCAACCTGTTTGTAATCCTTGTTTTCTCGCCTGGGAGCATTATCCCTTCTGTTCTGACCTCCTCGTCCTCTAACGTTACCTCCACCTCGTACATTGCGATCTCTTTGCACACGCGGTCGGCTACTGCTGCCGCCTCTGTTTTCACGGCGGCGACGAGGCGAACGTGATCGGGAACTGAACAAGAGTTAGCTATAAGGGAGAAGGTAAAAGGAAAAGAACGATTCTATTAGGCAGCGTTCAGACTTCGCGATAACGCGAGTCGACGCGCTACAACTGCAACAGCGCTCCCAAGATACAGATGCGCATGCAGGCGGACTGCTGGCACCGATTGATACCCGTCTCCAAACGCTCGATCGATGCGTGCCGGCCGTTTGTGTCTCGATAGAGTAGGGGGATAGGATGGCAGGTGTTGCCTAGTTACGCAGACTGGTATCGTTCGGAACCTGCCATCTGCGGCTGCGCTCGCCTCTATAGCTTTGGAGCGCTGCTGTAATTGTAGCACGTTGACGCGCGTTACAGCGCTATAGAGCGCGTTACACAGCGTCGACGGGCGTCATAGCTTGAGCGCTGCCTTATAAACACAAAAGATTTACCTTCCAGCACTCCTCGATCGACTGCTATAACTGCTGTAGCTGCTGTAGGATGAACTACGTCGATGCCGCCTTCGTGGACTTCTTTGACGTGACGAGGTCGAACCACTCAGGAATTCCTCAACAGCTTGATCCCACTGCTTAACTGGCGCTGGCCGGCTAATAATAGTGGGCATCCCAGGTATTATTGGTGGTGGCATAGGTGGGCGATTAGATGGCGGTGGTTGCTGCACTGGCGGTCCGAATCCTGCTGCTCCGTGATTCGATGGAAGTCCTGCACAACGAGAGACATTACACTTTCACTTTCATCTGCCTATATTCAATGCATATGAAAATATTCAAGAACTACACAAAAAATTATCGATTGAAATCATAATCGCTCTCAGGCAGTATGAGTAAGCCACGGCGCTAAACCCGTTCTCTGCCAACCATTAAAGCGACCTTGCGACAATCATTCGTGAAAAACGAGTGATACGATTTATATGATACAGTCTTGTCACTTGCTCGCTTCAGCAACTGGTGGAGAACGGATCTGGCACACCACAAAATCATCCCGCCTGATACGCCCCTTCGTCCGCAGCGAACTACTTTCGAAAACTACGAGAGGAATAAAAATCTAGTTGACTTACCAGTGAGCGGGATACCATTAGGAAGACGTGGGATGATCGGACCTGCTTGTCCAGGAACAATGGACGGTAAGATCGAAGGCCGTGATCCTACTGGAGGTAGAACACTTGGAGGGGCTAAATGCAACAGTTCAGTGTCATGAAAGCATCACATAATCTCAATAGATCTTTACAGGGATAAGAGAGGTGAAAAAACAAACCCAGTGGTCCCGGCACAGGTGGTCCCATCGGTCCTCGAAAATTCGGATTGATCAAGATCTTTCCACCTGGTGGTGGTCCAAAAACACCTTGGGTATTCAGGGTAAGAAGCGATTGCGGATTCGATGCTACCGCCAACAGACTAGGTGGTCCGTTAGGTCCTCGCATCTAAACAACAAAATCATTAGCAACAAAGAATAAGGTAATCGGTCTGATTTGAGGCCGCTTTCAGGCTAGAATAGTCCAGGTTCAATTCTCACATTTCCATCATCACGTTTTCCGCCTCTGAATGAACAGGAATGGAATTCTTACATTTCTACCATTGTGCATGGGTCCACCTCTACCGAAACGCGGTCCATTTCCACGAACACCACGACTGCTTCCGCCGCGTCCACCACTGTTTTGCCACGGTTTTTGGCCTTGGTATTGACCGCGAATGTCCACGCCTTGACGTCGACCTTCCACTTTGCTTATCACATTTGTAGTCGGTGGCGTCTGAATCACAACATCATAACCGATAAAAGGAATAAACACCATGCAGAGATATGGAGGCACCACAAGGTTTCGTTTAGGCCACGAACGGGGTTCGCGTCAAAAAAGCCGCCGAAAAGTTGCTCAGAGGTGAATTAGGGTCAGCTTTTTACCTTGATCCATTCCTATCTTTTTTGTGAAATCTATCCGAGATGAGAGCATAAATTTATTTACGCCGCGTTCATACTTTGCCAAAGTGGAAAGTGCCGAATTCACAAATCGCGAAATTGGACAATTAATGAATCGAGGCATTTTAAGAGAACGCGCGGAACCAATCGATTCGATACATCCTTTTTCGCCGTTTCTCCAACTCTCCCAGTTCGCCGTTTCTTAAAATTCAGCGGTTTTCTAGCGTCGCAAAGTATGGACGCATTCTAAGAACTTCCAGTTTGTACGTGACCAAGCAGAGCGACCAGCGTCCCGCTATCCCCTAAGAGTGCGTTCTTACTCTGCGTCAGCTTTTTGAGCGCCCGCCAGCCAAGATTTCCAATAGTCTAGTGTTTTTGTGGTTTAGTTCTGACTTCCTCACTTTTTTATTAGCCTCTTTTTTGAAGGCAGTCGCTCAAAACACTACCGTACGCTCCAAACGCTAGATCGATACCTATACTTTCCTCTCCTTTACTTTAGCCGCTGAAAAGGCGCAAAACGCTACCTTGCTACCTTGCACTTTGAATCCAGAGGCTAGGCATAATTGGAGACTAGCTTGCTTGCGCAATGTTGAGTCGAAAGAAACAGTAGGCCGACGAAATGGAATAAAAAGCTGTTTTCAGGCATATCCTACAAAGTGCTAATTAAGGGTCAGTCAGCAAAACCAACTGTGTAAGGGTGAGCAAAACCGAACAAGATAAAAGAGAAGCTTATTCACTGCAGCAGACATTTAAAAAAGTCAGTCTTAAAGGCGAAAAGAGAACTAAGAGCTAGTAGGATTAAAGGCGAAGCCCGCTAGCACAGATTGTGGGCAATGGAGCTCAAGTATGAACGACAAATGGCTAGGTAACCGTCCAGTGGAGGAAAAAAATCATGACGAAAAACCGTCCGAAATGGCCCATTCGAAGTGGAAAGATGCTAGCAGAGGAGCTACTAGCATTTTTGCAAATATTCCTTTTTTTGATTGTAGCACAGCCTCTAGTATGGCCTACCGGATCATCTGACACATTTGAGAAACTATAGCCTCAGTCCATCGCGAAAATCGCGGAGGGTGCCTCTAAGCTGCGAACAGAAACTATTCACCGGTAAATAACACGTAGATGTTTGGACATATCGCGCGAGACAAACTCGCGAAACCAGAACAAGCACCAACAATGTACAAACAAAGTACAATCCACCAAAGTCATCCATTAAAACCCCTAATCCCACCCCTCTCCCAACCCTCGTTCACGAATTTAAGAGTTATCAATTGAAAAGATGACCACAATACTTGCGCAGGTGCTTTTTCTAGAGTCGGCAAACTTTTCGTTCTAAGCGGCGCCTAAGAGCACTTTCGAGTCCTCTCTGCAAATGTATGCCGCGTGAAAGAGAATTACCACATGCTAATTAATATCTTTTTCGAGAAATCAAGCCGGTTTGGGGTTTTTTTTGTGCAAACATCGCACTAGCCAGTCACGTACCACTGGTATGTGCAAAAAAAAGCCTTGCGTGCACTACTCTGCAATAAGGAGAGGAACCCGTGCGCTGACAAAATCTAGGGTTGACTAAAGAGAACAAGAAGAAGCCCAGTTCTGGGCAACACCCCTGCAAAAAGGATCAACAGGGCGACGAAAAAGCCACGTTGGACAGTCGCTGGGAGTAGTAATTTTAAGTGGTAAATAGTAAATGGATACTTACCGTATTTGCCTGACTCCTTTCCGATGTGAAACGTCCAGTACGTTCTTCTTTATGCTCCTCGTCATCATCCTCATCGTAATCCAGTTCTTCACGTTCAAAACTCTCGTCCTGTGTCTCAGCGCTTAAGCTCTCTGTGACGGTAGCACTCTGAATGATAGGTGAATGAAGATTTCTTGAAAATATTACTGGAAAATCCGGCGTTCAGTGGGATTTTTGTGCACTTTGAACAATTCTAACACCGTTTCTCTCGTGGTACATTCCAAGAGCAATATGTTCTCTGTAAACAAATAACACTCAAAAAAACAGAATCATCTTCACTGCCCACCATTCGCCCCACATATTCCTGTGCCGCATGTACAAAGAAAAAAGATATTCAATCTACACGCGTACGAGAGTCACCCTTGACAAGCACACTCTGAAGTGAGGTTCACAGGGCAGATGGACAAGAGAATCGTAATTTGCCACGCAGTGACGCGCGACGCACCGTCTTGCGAAGAGCGCGGAAAGTTTCAGCGTGAGCCTCATGCGGCAATTGGCACTTAGAACTAAAAATGTGCGCCAGTTTCTTGACTGGAGCAGCGAAACTTGCAGGAACCTTTGCATTTACCCTTCACTGCTCCAATCATTCGGAATCGAGCCAATTTTTGACCGACTTTTCCCTCCTCGGACAGACTTGGCTCAAATGTTGTATTCTGGGGTAATTTGAACTTCTGAATACGAATATCACATCCGCTTTGGTCCGAAACTCCTGAGGCCATGCCATAGGCGCCGGTGATTTGGGGTATTCCGGCGCCGGCGCCTATGGCGCGGGCCCCAGGAGGTTTCGTGGAGAGCGGATGCTGTCTTCAGAAGGTCATTTACCCCAGGAGACAAACTTTTAGCCAATATTCCTCGCATAGAAAAAAATCGCTCAAAAAACGGCCAGATTTCCGATGACTGGGGCAGTGAAGGGTAAATAGTGCTATTTTTTTTCAATAATGCCTGGCATTTTCACGTGCTTCTGGCCATTCCCTACATCGTCTATTACTGTCATATTTGAGGATGAGAGACGAGCATCAACAGCACCCTTTCTTCCTTCAATATTGGAAATTCGAGTGGCTAGGAAGGAGAACACGCCTCTCGCGGCGCGGCGTCGCTTGCCACGCCTGCCAGCGCGGCAAATACGATTCTCTTGTCATATACCTGGTTCATATGTGTGACAGCGGCGTTTCAAGGCTCAAGATATACACTCAATCCCTGAGATGCGGGAGGCATGGCAGCGCTACGATAGTCGTTGATCCAGTTGAGTACCAACGAGATGTTCCCTGTGCTTAATGGATCTACACTAGTCAAAGTGTTACTCTTTCACATGCGCAGCTTTTGTGAACACATCAAATGAATTCCAATCATGAAGCCGTAAGGCTCCGTTCATAGTTTGCGACTCAACGGTTCGGAGAAAGGCTCAGTGTTCTGAGTATTTCGGAAGAAACGGGGTATGGACGCCAATCCACACCTGTGCCATCTTTTCACTCGAACGCTAAGGTCTACCGAAACGGCCAAACGCCGATTCAAAATGTATGAAGAAAATGCAGTTGACATAACGTTAATCTTTAGTGTAGTTCGCTGCAGACGGTTGGGCGTGTCAGGTGAGAAGAGTTTGGCGTGGTGCCAAACCCTTTTTCCACCAGTTGTTGAGCGAGCAAATGATACGGCTGTATCATATCGTTCGTAGTACACTTTAGATCGCTGCGGTCCAGTATGAGTGTGTCACCCCTGAGCCGTTCTCTGCCTTCTTGTTGAAAAGCGCATGCGACAAAAAGTGGTAGAAAACGAGTAATACGAAGGATATGATACAGTATTGTCACTTGCCTGCTTCAACAACTGGTGCGGAACGAGTCTGGCACCGCGCCAAACGCAGCCGCGACACGCCCAACCGTCCGCAGCTAACTACACTTACATTTCGTTTTCTATCCACTTTTTGTCGCATGCGCGCTTCAACAAGAAGGCAGAGAACGGCTTTGACGGGTGACACACTCATACTGCCTGACACGCCCAACCGTCCGCAGCGAACTAGAGTGTACTATCATTCCTTCAGTTGCGATTCACTTAACAGATATCTTGATCATGATCTGCGTGCAATTTAATCGTAAACGGAATAGAGCAATTCGTTTCGCTTCGCTGAACCAGGAATACAAAAAAATGTGTTAAAAAACGCATTCGCGATTCCACTAAGATGGGCACTTTGCCGCAAAGTTTAGGAAAGAACTCTTTCTGCACAGCAGGAATTTGTCCACATCAGAAACTACTTCCTCTAGGCTTGAGCAAGAACCTTTCACCTAGTCCCCACTGCTTTGGTTTCACCTTGGGTTTTTAACACAGAAATGCCCTACTTCAATGGAACACAGCTAGAACGTACAAGGGCTATAATTGACGCAGCACTATTGACCTCTGCCCACGCCCGGTTTCATAACGAGGGAGGGAGTAAGGTATTGTTCACAGTCTGCGGCCCAGCGTTTATCTAGAAAGAAACGCTTTAGCGAAAGGCTTTCGATACGCATCGCTTGGCGGTTGGCCGAAGAGTTTTGGCGGTTATTATATCGTGCAAGAACAGTACAAAAAATCAATACTGTGAACCGGTTACACTGCGGGTCGGGAAAATCGGCATTTTAAGACAGACCCGGACTGCATATTGTGGATAAAAGATTCAATTTACGAAGCTAAAGTCGCTAGCTGGCTCTCCAGAAGAAGGAAGAAGCAAAATAAAATAATGGAGAACAACTCAAGTAAGGACCCAGCGGCCTATCGGGACGAGTTTCTCGGGCGTAATATTATGACAGCCAAGCGACGTCCTGTCCATCTCTGGTTCCCTAGTAATAGCATTCAACAGTGGAAAAAATTAAAAACAGGTGTAGAAACTGAACCCGCGACAGAAATTCCCTTCGAGTTCCGGTGGGCTGGACAACAGGGGAGGCGTCAGACACAGGGTACAGCAACATTTGTAGTTGAAACGCATAGGGGGGGGGTGAGGGTCGTACTTCTCCACTGCGGACAAAGGGAGTCGTATTTGGCCGTTGTTGGGAGAGGGGGATTGTATGTGCCTTTGAGTGGAATTTGCGCGTTGAAAAAATTTTCCTCGATTATTGACTTTTCGTGATTTTTTTCCTGTTTCACGTGTACTATGTCCCCCCTCCGCTCCTCGACGGAAAATTTCTGGGTGAAAAAGTGTAAAATGTGGTAGGTAGGTAATTGGGAAGAGGGGGGGGGTGGTCGTACTGACCCCACCATTTTACACATCACGATGCGTTACCCTGTCAGAAAAGATTTTTCTTTTTTCGAACGTCGATTATTTTTCGAAGACAGATCGATCCCTATACTTTCCTTTTTGAGCAGTCATTCAAAGCGCCATTCTCTTGAATATGAAGGCGTAAACGCAGCCTCAACACTATGGAACCAGGCATTTCTAGGGAATGAGGTGGTGTCAGCGTGGTACAGACCACCTGAAGGCATCAAAAACACGAAACTTTCCCACAGAAGCGGTTTACACACCCCGAAGTTTCTTCCCTCTCCTTAACCTTATCTTTGTGGGTAGAATACTCATCGTCTGCTTCTATACCGATCCATTTCGTTCGCCACAATCCTCTCCAACGTCCCCATTATATAAAGGCGCCCCTTTGACAAATCATATCACAAATCATCTCAATCTGATCGTGAACTAGTTTTCAAGTTCGACAAGTACAAAGCAATAAATTACTGTACTGTAGTTAAACAACCACAAAAAGATGCCAAACATTCGCTCCATAACATCTGGGAATATAATCGTAGTTAATACTGCTCAGAATATTTTCAGACGTGAAATTATTACTGATAACGCAATTCTAATAAAATACTCTGAAAGATACTTTATAACACTTCTCAACAAAACGTATCGCTAATAACAAACGCTACTCAAAGGCACGCTCCGTGTTCATTTGATGTTCAGCCGTCTTCTTAGGGCATGGTAGTTCTATCAGCAAGCATTTAAAGTACTTCTTTCACAACTCAAAAATGTAGGGAAAGCGCGACCCGCGCGCGACGAAGCCACGGCTCCGCCCACTGGCCACGGCACCTGGCCAATCTTCACTTCAAAAGGCATCCTGGTGGTGGGATTGTTCCTCTATTAGCTTTCTTCATTTCGTTATGGTGACTGCGTCGATACGGAGAAAGACTTAACTTGACAAGAAAGAACTCGTCCGACCACGCCCACTGCTCGCCTTAGCGCGGCTCAGCATGGGGATCTATGTGAGACGTTTGAGGCCGGCTTTTAACGATTTTTTTTCTTTACTTTGCGTTATTCGCCATTCTTGTCATTAATGTTTGAGCCGCATCACTCAATATTTTTGAACACGGGCGTGTCTTCAAGCTATGTGGTCTTTGAAAACTGAAACAATTCACATTGGACAACTAGACTGCTGAGACCAAAGATCGTTAATTATGGACAGAACTACCTACCATTCTTAACAGATAAGATACAATAAATAAGGAGACTGAGATCAAAATGAATATGCACCGCTTTGTTCGGTGTCGGCAATGCCCCTCATTTTCAATGCTTCCCAGCTTGAACTCTCCAGTAACCGTCAGTTAGACTGTGTTCATGCTTTGCGTTAGCTTCTGAGCGTTCGGCAGCGTTTCGAGCGTTTCAAGCTATTAGGAAAGTATAGTTATCGATCTAGCGTACGCCAGTATAAGGCAGCGCTTCGCGGACAGACGCTGAAAACGCTGGCGTAGGTGCAAACCGCTGGCGCAAAGTACGAACGCAACTCGAACTCGCTTCGACTGATCGCATTGCAAATCTTAGACCACACTGCTCAACTTCGGAGCATTTAACATAGAGCCATTTACGAAACGAATTGATAGACTTCCAATGAAGAGCCTCGTCAGCTTGGACAATGACAGCCAGGGAGACGGGTCACTGTACCTACTTTCAATCTTCTGAGCTACGGGTGACACATTCTTCTCTATGTTCTCGCAATTGGACCGCCAGGCGTCTGAATCGGACAGGCGGTTTCGATTGATTGGCTGGCATTACAACGAGCTCAATTGCTCGTGCAGCATACATCACAAACAACATATGGAGACTTAATTAGAATGCTGCATGCTTACTCTAAAAGCTATGAGTCAGTCTAGGGTAAAAAGTTGATTTCTCGAGGAGTGGTCTCAGTTCTTTTCATACACCACGTAAAATTTGTGGTGTGTAACATCCACAAAGTCAAAAGCAATCACTGACAAAACAAGGGCAACAAGGCAGAATGTCAAAACTGAGCGATCACAGACAGTACGTCATTGTGATAGCATACACAACTCCACTACCAAAAGCCTCGCAGTCTACCCAGAGAGCCAGAAAATAAAAACCGTGTTGTGTCTGCACGTATCCCTGGAAAAGGATCGTCTCAAGAAAGCACACCGGCCTACAATCGCAACTAGCCAATGAGACAAGCTATAAAATTTGAATCGCGCCCTGTTACTGCTATATA